TGAGAAGGTCCTCTTCTGCTTCTTGGGCCCTGGGGACAATCTGCTGCTTGATGGCGCTCTGAAGACCTGGTTGGAGCTGTGGTCTCCCTGGTAAGGGGCCAAGGCTTGCCTCCCAGGTCAGATGCAAGGCTGGAGATGAATGAGTGGGCACAGGCCTGTGTTACTGCAGGGATGCAGTGGCAATGTCTGAGATGCTAGTGGTCCTGCCCTGAAGTGGTGCTGTACTGGGAGGCTGAAACCAGCTGTTTGCACCTCTGCCCTGTGAGCATCTTGGGGTGCAAAGTCTCTGCCTGACTCCAGAAAGCCTCATCCCCTTAGTGTGTGTGTTTTCCTATGGTGTCTGCCAGCACGGCTGTGTGGGACTAAACTGTAGGAGGTCTGGGGCTGGCTGCTGCCATTGAGGTTTGTAGTAACAATTGCAGTACCTGCTCTTGTTTCCTTGGAAGCTGCCAGGAGTCAGAGCAACCTACAGATGTGAGGAGAGAGCTTCCTGAGGCCTTTATTTACAAGGTCAGCCCCTGAGGCTGAGTTGGCAGACCTGAGTCTTTTTTTTTTTTTTTATCCTCAGGGTCTTTGCAGAGGCATTAGGAGCTCTGGTGACCTTGTTAGAGTTGAGATGCTATAACACATGTTGTGGTGTGTCTGTTCCCCATCTGTCCTCCTCCCCCCAGTCTTGCTCACAAATAACTTGTTTTTCCTTCCTCAAGATGTCTGGAACCTTTCACTGACTGCTGCAGCCCAGTCATGCTCCTGACATAGTCTGGGTTTGCTCCCTGTGAGCCTCCTAGGCAGAGGGGCCCTATGCTAGGAAGTGTGGCTGAGTTTTCCTCTGTAGTAGCCTGAAGGAGAAAGGGGTGCTCAGGGTTGTCCTGTGGTGTTCTTGGGTTTGAGCTGTGAGGTGGGGCAGTGCAGGAGGAGCAGCATTGAGCCACCATCTGGGGCATCTCTTAAACCATTTAGTTCCTTGTCCTTAGTGATGGTGGGATTTCACCACCATCCATACATTCCAGCAATACCCTGTGTGGTCCCACAGGAGGGGTTCTGGGGCAGGGGTGCTGTGGGAAGGGAAGCACGTGGGGAGCAAGGGAAGCAGGGAGCTGCCAAGCACTGCTATGTACTACTGCAGAGAGCCCTGGGCTCTGTGTGTCAGGAAGTAATTGGAGTAATTAGCTGCCAGGGAGGACTCATCTATGAACTCCTCTAAGGGAGTGATCTGGTAATTACTCCAGAAAGATTACCTGCGTCTCCAAACTGCTGGAGGCTGGAGACAGCTGCTTTCAGTGGCAGAGGTGGCTGCACCAGCACCTTTGAAGGTGGACACAAGACCCCCAAGAGTGTTCCCTTCCTTGTCTGAACCAAAGGAAGCAGCAGGGAGAGTGAGTTTTCTGCCTGTGGGTGCTGACAGAGGTTCATGTGGGTGGCACTGAAGCTGGGGCAGACTGTCTGGCAGCAGGGCTGGAGCATCCATTAGCATGCCATAGCACAGTGGGTGGTGGTCAGCTGCTGCTGGAGACAGCTGGGCATCAGTAGAGCCTGGGGGAAGCCTGTGTTGTGGGACCCAGTGCTCTGCAGGGTGCAGGAAAGGCTTCTGCTGCTTCCCATCACCAAACTTTCCCTTAACTAGGAGTGCTGCAAGCATCACACCTGGGCAGTTGCAGGATGAATCTCTTCTGGGTGCTGGTCTTGGGCTCCCACCTCTTGCAAGATGTTTTTTGGAAGTCCTAGTGAAGAGATTTAGGTGTGATGGATTTTCTGCCCTTAGCTGGATGCCTGGGGGGGGGCGGGGGAGGAGGAGGGAGGGGCATGGCAGGAAAATAATACTCATCCCTCTGAGGGATTTTAGTGCCTTTATGTTTCTCCCTCCTTATGCCTTGATGGCAGCAGGCCATGGTGGGTCACTGCCATCATGGCATCACCTAAACAGTGGGTGTTCATTATTTATTGATGTGGTTTGTGGCTGAGCAGAGCTTAAATGGGGGGGGAAATTGTTGCACTTGATTTGTACATGTCATGCTGCTCCCATGTTGAGCTGGTGGTGGGAGATGAATTTGAGGCAGCCTCAGCTGCTCCACATCCAGATACTGGATGGTAAATCTCTCTCTTTGCATGTGTGCAGTGAAGTTTAGCTCAGGTGCCACCTAAACTTCCTCACACAGAGGTGCTTACAGCACTGACCCCAGAAAAGATGAAAATTAAAAGGTGACTGAAAAGCAAAGGCTGGGGGGCTGCAAAGCACTTGGGCAGCAGCCTGCCACCTACCTGCAATTTAGGGCTCTGCTCTGCCACTAATGCACCCAATTTGTGTCCGTGGGAGGGGGTTTGCAGGTGCAGAAGGTGGCCAGTGCAGTGCAGCGGAATAGTTGATTATGCCCAAGCACTGAGCTGGTATGTGTTAGCTCAAGTATGACTTTGCCTCCAGATTTTGCACAGGCAGTTGGTTTGTTGGTCTTAAAAGCATCTCAGGGTGGCAAAAGGGTTACAGTTCACAAGATAGCTCCTGTGCTTTGCTGGGAGCAGCACACTTGTAGATGTATTCCCCAAATGTCCCTATGCCTGGACACCGCTTGGTCAAGGACTTGGGAGGGGGCTGTGCTAGGATAGACTTTGGCACCAAAAGGGACAGATGAGCAATGGAGGGTGACACCAACACCCTCCAGTGTGTCACCCCTCCAGTGGCATCACAGCAAGCCCCATGGCTCCCCACTGGCCATGGGGACAGCATCTGCCTTATTCTCAGCAAGGTGTGCCCACCTAGTGCTCTGTTCCCTCTTGACACCACTTGTCCTCTTGCCCCGTGGGGACAGCTCAACCCCAGCAGTGTGTTCCTGCACCTGTGGCTACTGGAGGCTGTGGAAGAGTGAGCTGGTGCCTACACCTGCAGGGAGAGGAGAGGTAATGAGCCTCCTGATTTCCCAGCAGCTGATGCCTGAGTAATGGCTCTTAATTGGCTTCTCTCTGCAAAAATCCTCTCCTGCCAGCCCCAGGAGAGATGGCATTGCCACAGGCTGTGCCTCCCCATGCTCTCTCCACTGCAGGCTGTTTTGAGGAAGCAAAGAGGAAAGGATAAGCTAACTGAAGAGATGCACTGCTAAATGATTTTTAATTTTTGGGGGGTAGAAATAGAAGACGCCCTGTCTCAGATAAATAGCTATTTCCTTACTGGGTTACTGTGAAGGGAAAACACTGACTGTGCCATTCAGTGAGCCAAAGGACTTACTCTGCTTTTATTTCCCAGTGTCTCTTCTCACCAGCCTCCAGAGGACAGATGGGGGGAGAACTGAGGCATTTCTGTCCCATCAGCATGGTTACAATCCCATCCCACTGACATGTGCTGCTCAGAGAGCAGGTGGTAGCTTTGCCACTGCAAGGGGCTTTGTCCTCCCAGGCAGTGAAGGTGCAGGGAGTGCAGCAGGAAGGATACCTCATGTCCAGCCCTTGTGGTTTCCACATAACCCACCTTGGGGCTGACCACAAAGAGAGCAGGTGAGGAGGCTGGGAGGACCAGTGAATCTCTTTGTCTGGGGACAAGGGCCCACAGGGGTCTTGTCTCCCCCACAAACCGCACCGCCTTCTTTCCCCTTCTCCTCCATTCTATCGCCTCATCCCTGAGGGAAGAGGAGCAAGATCCAGTAGGGTCCCATCCCAGCATCCCTTGTTAGCACTCCCCAGGCCCCATTTGTAGCCAGTGGCCCCATTCTGGCATGCCACAGCACTTGCCAAGGGGCGAGCAGTGTGAGCAGAGCTGTTCCCCTGGCGGCAGCTCAGATGCGTTGGTTGCTCAGATCTGCACTGAGGTGCTGGTGGTTTTTCCCTTGGTAGCTTTCTTCTTGGCTGTATCCCAGAAGGAGGCAAGATTCAAAGGCCACCCCCACCCTTGGTACAGACTCCACCCTGTCCTTAGCTGTTTCTGAAGGGAAAGGCCTCTTGGGAAGTGCTCACCTTGACAGAAGAAGCCCAAGATGGAAGAGCGTGTTTTCCACTGCTGGCAAAAGAAACCAAATCCCAGTGCACTTCAGACACTGCTGTTCTGAACTCCTGGCTGAGTCAGGAGCATCTCCAAGGCAGGGGAGGAATGGAGGGCATGTTCAACCAACCCAGGGAGTGGATCTGGCTTGGTCCCCAAGGTCTTGTCCTCACAGCAGGGAGGGCATCTGGGACACCTGGTCATGGTACTTCTTGCAACCCAAAATCCAGTGTATGAGGCAAGAGAGGGGTGTTTGGGCACAGATTTGGGGAGATGGGGAGTGAATGAGCTCTCTGGTGACTTTCTGTGTCTGTTTCTTGGTGTCACTACCTTAGGACAATGGCTGGGAGTACTGGTGGGGGGACTGGGCCAGGACATGGTCATTTAGGGAGCAGTGGGCAGGAGGGCAATGGGACAGGGTTGCTGGGGCCAGGGTTGCAGGACCGCATCTGTGCTGGGGGTGCTGGACAGCACAGGGACAGGCACCCGCAGCCAGATGATGGGGAACTCAGTTGCAAAAAGATATCCTAATTATGAAGAACACATTATTCATGAATAGAGGAGTTATTCTGATATGTCATGGGACTCTTCAGCACCTCATGATTATTTTTTAAAAAGGATACAGGGAAGGACAGCAGGTTGTGGTGTACACTCTTGTAAGATATCACTGTTTAATTGACCCTCCTCCACCTCCTTCTCAGAGAACCCCAAATCCTCCCTCATCAGCCACCAGAGATCTCACTTCCCCATCGCCCCTTTGCACAGGCACAGATGGTCTCTGCACTCGCTGCCCTTTGCATCGCCTCCTAGAGCTGTGACTGCCAGGCTCCCTTCTCCTTTCTGGGCTAGACATGTTTCCAGGCCAGGACTTGAAGCTATTCCTCCTTTGCCCCTCCTACCCTCCTTTGCATTTCTGAGTATTCCCTCTGAGATCAGGACAATTACAGGGCTCTGCAGTAGGGCTGGGGGTCCCGGTTGGGAGAGGGACCCCTTTTCCGGGAGGGCAGGAGGGAGGGGGTGAAGAGACACCTCTTCCACAGCCACTGGCATGGTTTAGTTTAACTTTTTTTTTAAGCTTAATCAAATTTCTGGAGCTTGTGTGTTCCTTTGCTGTGTCTTGTTGCCTTTTTGCCTCCTTCCCTTCTGCTCAGGTGGCTGCAGCAATGCTGTGAGTCTGTAATAAGTTATTCAGCAGCGATCTCCATGCTGGTCCTCAGATTTCAATTTCCACTTTTCCCTTCAGGCTGTTTCTGACTAATTTCTCCATTTGCATAATGCCCCCCTTACAGATGCTCTGACATAGCCCCTTCTCCTCTTCCCCACCCCCAAGGTCATCAGAGATTCAGGCTATCAGTGGAAAATACTTTAATTCTGTTGGTCCTTTGGCCTGGTCCTTCCCCAGGCACCTCCAATTAAAAAAAGTCAAAGAAGCAATTTGGGGGGCAGGGGCACAGGCTGCCCATGGGGAGTGGGCTGGGGGCTGCTGACCCCACCCCCCATGGCAGCCCTGGAGGAATCCAGTTGGAAGAATTACAAATGCACAGGTAAATGCAATTTCTTACTGTAGATTTTGGTCTAGCAGCCCCAATGATTTTGTCTGGACCAGAATTGGTGGGAAGCCTCCACCCCTGCCCCCCAGCTGGGGGTGCTTGAAGGGGATAGACAAGGAGGGCTTTAGCTGGGACAGCAATGAGCTGGGGCTTGTGGGGCTGGTCGCCCCGGCTGCATGGGTACCCACAGACATCCCCTCCCTGAAATAGTGCTCTTGTCTTGCTTGGTTATTTGGAGGGATGGACAGCCAGGATGGCTGAGCACATGCAGGACAGGGCAATGAAAACTGCCACTCAACTGCTGGGTGAGTCTGCCCCTTATCACTCCTCTCTAAGCCACCTCATCTCTTTTGGACACCCCAGCCCTTCCCTGCAAATTCTGTCTCTGTCCACCATCAGAAGCAAGATCTGCTTGTTCCCTCCTATGTTTGTATTCTTTTGCCCCTCTTCAAGCACATTTTATTTTATGCTGCTGCTATACACACAGTAGCCAGAACACACACATTGCTCCAGTCTCTCTCTCCCTAATTCTCGTCCCTTCCACACAAGGAAAACAGCCTACACCACCATCCCGCTCTCAGTGTTACTTGCTCACTGTGATCTACATTGAAATACATCTCCCTCCAAGTTGCCCAGACACTGGCTAGATTATAACTTCCTTTGGGAACAGCATAAACACCTCCTGGTTTAAATAAGCGTGGCACTCCTGCAAAGCTCACCTCTTTGCTAGCCAGCTCCACATTCTCATAAACAGAGACTTTTCTCTTGCTTTTTTTATTAGCTCTTCCATGTTATAAAACGTAATGGGAAGTTTCAGATCAGCTTCTGTACAGGTCTCTGATGCGCTTCTCTCTTTTATGACTCAAGTACAACAGCAATTGCAGACATTAACATGCTTCTTTAGTATGAAATGTACATTTGAATGGCACCCAGCTGGAGGAACATGTTGTGCCTCTTGCAAAGCTGGCTGCAGCCTGCCCAGAAACCTTGGGAAGGGGGTGAGGGGTGCCCAGAGTTTGCCTGCAGTCCCCTGCACATGAGGGAAAGAGGCAACAGGGGAGCCATGGCCAGGAGAGGAGGGATGGTCAAGGTAGATGCTGGGGAGTAGGGGGTGAGGCATAGCCTCTTAATGCCTTTTTGGGGCAGCCATTGCCTTCATACCCACCTCTGAAGTACTTAACATGTCTCTGACAATATACAAGTGAGCAAAAGGAAGATGTATGTGGGGATGCTGGGGATTTCCTTGTCAGCAGAGGCTTTAAGAAGGATGGAGATATCCCTCTCCAAGGCATGGGAAGGAGTGTGTGAGCCCCTGTGTCTTGGGCTCCCCCCATGTCTCTTCCTTCTCTGGATCTCATCCCCTTGCAAACAGCACTCCCACCTCAGACTCTGCATGTGATGTCAGCCTTTTCTTTCCATCCTTCTTTGTGTGCAGGGCCCTGACCTAGTGCCAAGAGTAGAATCCTTCAGGCCCTCACCCCTCCCAGGTCACTTCTTGAGTAGAGATTTCAATTACAAGTCTTTTTAGGGCCCAGCACTCTGGGATGGCAACTGTATGGGGGCTCAGACTTGGGATCATCATGACAGTCATTATTAACATGGAGAAAACATTGCTGTCTTTACCAGCCTGCACCAGGAACGGAAGAGATGTTGTGCAACCACCAGCCTGCCTTCCTCCTTGCTTCTGGGATGGGGCAGCAACTGGGATTTCTCCTGTGGATCAGGGATCTGATGTGTAGAGCAGAGGGATGTGTAGAGCATGCCCTTTGGTCTTGTTCATGCTCTGTCCTCCTACTTCACTGCATCTGAGGAACCAGGTGCCACCCCGTGGTGCTGAAGTGAGAATACTGTCCCCATCACAGCAGTCTGGAGACCCCACCAGGACTCAGGCCTCCTGGAAGAAACAGCGGTCATTCTCTGGCCCCATATCCCCTCTCCTCCCTGTGTGCCCTCTTCGTGGGCCAAACTTGGGCACCAGCAATGGCTCTTCCAGCTACAGGGCTGAGAAGGGAAGCTGTGGCCCCAGATGAGGGGTGGTGGCACCAGCCCAGCAGCAGCATGCACATCTTCCATCAGGCAAATGTGCTCCTCCTGGTCCCAGCAGCCAGACTGGTTCTCAATTCCCTGTTGTTGGATGGTGGCACACTACAGCCTTGGAGAGAACAGGGATTTACTGTTTCTCTGAAAGGAGAAAAAACCTGCATAGTGCATCCATGCCAGGGTCTGGCTGTGCAAGCAGCCTTTGCAGGCACTGGTGCTCTGTGCTCCACAGGAAAGCTCAATCCCAGGAGGGCCCCAGCCAGGGACGGCAGTGACATGCAGGTGGCAGCTATACATGGCCCCCTTTTGAGAGGTAAGCAATCAGTGCTACCACCACCCCGATGTACACTCCTGTGCCGATGGTTATGGAGAGCGCGGCAAGGAAGAGAGCTCGACGGGAAGCGGAACTGGCCAGATGGAAATCTCCTTTGGAGACAGCCTTGCTGGTCTGGAAGGAGAAGAAATGCTTGTTGCTCACAGCTGTATCAACCTGGCCTTTTACTCACCATGCAATTGTTTCACTACTGAGTCAGTCTCCCTTCCCTGGTCACTGTCCCATGGCAACTGGGAACAGACAGCACGGTGTTTGCCAGTCGGGGAGGGCTCAGAACAGCAGTGCCACCTACACACATTTCCCTGTGGATTTTGCCTCCAAGGGAAGCGTGGGCTTCAGCTGCTTGTCTGAAAGCACCCATCTGGGCACTGAGCCAGAGCTGTGAGCGGGAGGCTGGACCCTTGTAAGAGCAGGCAAATGGTTGGTGCTTGGGGTGATTGCTGTGTGGCACCGACTACATACCAGTATACCCTGTACAGATATGTACTGAGTACTGCCTAGTCTCAGGGAGTTGACTCCAGACAGCGTGGTCCATTGGTCTGGCTCTGCTGCCACCTGGTTTTTCGTGTGTGGGGTTTTTGGTTGAAGCCTATTTGCTATAGAAGGGCTGATGGAGCCAGCAGTGGAGACAGTTGTGGGTGTTGGTTCTCTGTGATGGCAACTTCCAGCTTCTCTAAGTGCTCAGGGCACATTCTAAGTGCTCTTAGTATTACCTACTATTTGTATTCAAGTTGCCACATGGAGATCACTGTGCACAGACATCGAATAAAGAGATGGTCCTTGCCTCAGTGAGTGAACAAAAGGGGTAGTTATAGCAAATGGAGCTAGATATAAATTGCCCCACGTACGTCATCACATGGAGAGTACACTGTGCTATATTGCACCACATGGAAAAATGTGAAATCAACTGCTCCTTGGGGTCCTAATTAATTAATGTTTCCCCTGCCTCTCACCATCTCTGTGCCAGGCACTCATATAATACACTTTTCCATTTCTGTTCCTATTCTCTCGATTTAACTTCTTAATACCTCCCCCCACCTATTCTTTGTACAGAAGCATCTGTGCAAATGTGGAGTAAATCCCCTAGCTCTGCATGAATTATTCTGGGTCAACACTAAGTAAGTGAGCCCAGGCTCTGGGCTAAGCCTTCAAGAAGGCAGCAGCTCCTCTGAGCTGGTGCAGCCAGAGGGCCACCTCCCTCTCCAGCCTCTGCCAGCCTGGCATTGGCTCCCATAGCTTAACCAATGTGCATCAGAAACAAGTACAAGAGAGGAGCTGTAGTGTGATATGGACACCAGGATCTCCTTTGTGTCCAATTTCCAGAGCAGCCTGGTTCCTATGGCATGAGCTGCCTCAATCTGGGTCATGGTGTAGAACCTCCGCTCTACTGGAGAGTGGGAGGACAAGTGGGAAAATGCCAGAGTGAGAAGCTGGGCAAAGGGCCAAGAGCAACTCCAGTTCCCTAAATAACACCCAGAAGACCCAAAGGAAAAGCCTGACCCCCAGTAACCCACACCAGAGCTGGAGGGCTTGCAACCCCGCAACAACTGTGGAGACATCCAGCATCACCCTTTGCCTCAACCCTCAGAGTTATGGCCGTGGCACAGAGATGAGCCTTAGATCCAGAAAGGTGCCGGCCACCTCCAGGTGTGGCTTGCAGGGCCCTCCAGGTGTGGCTGCTGTGGCTTGCAGGGCCCTTGCTCCAGTGCTCAGCACACACAGGCAAGCAACAAGATCTCTTACCCCTTGGGAGAAGTAGAAAGCAGCAATCCCCAGGGGCCAGAAGCAACACAGCATGGAGAAAAGGGCCAAACCCAGGTGGTCCCTGGGGGGAAGCATCAGGAAATGATCCTCGCTTTCGCTGTCGCTGGAGGAGTCGCTCTGAAAAACGAGATGAATTCAGCACATGCCCACCTCCCTGTGCCTCACTATAGGCTGCATCTCAGCCCCTCACCTCCCAGCTTCTGCTCTCTCCTGGCCCTATCACATATTTTCATATGATTCCCACCAGCAAATTCAAAAAGTAAATTTCAAAAATATTTTAGACTCTTCAGCGTGGTTTAATGAAGAACAACGTAGCTCAGCAAATTCAAAAGTGGAATGGAGTCTTGGCTCCCTGCCAGAGCAAATGCTGAGCTCACTTGCTGGGGGTCTGGGATTTCCCTGCATTAGAGAGAGTCTTAAACTGAAATATCTTCAGCTTTGGCAGAACTGACTGTTTGTCAGCTTAAACAAAGTTAAACAAAGTGCCTTATCCCCATTAGAGACTAGGAGATCAATATCCTGCTAAACTAATTTAGAAAGTGAGGGAAAGCAGTTGAATTGGAGCTTCCATTGCAGGGGCAACATGCCCTCTCCCCCCAGTAAGTACATTGCTCAGTGGCTGCAGTCAACACTCCTGCCTTTGGGCACAACTTGGCCAGCCTCAGACCACCCTAGAAGTGATTTGTCTCAGTGGGGAAGGCATGCAGAGGTGGGGACACCTCTGATGCCATCTGAAAAGGCCACATCACCAACACCAAAAGCAGCAGAGCTGTGCTGGGTCATCAGACATCAGCTCCAGTGGGCTCCGGGGACCCACTTCCACCTCTCAAGGTCCTGGACAATGATCCTAGCCTTGGCACCATTGCTCAAGCCATGGTGGGGCACAGCACAGCAATGAGGCTGCTTTGTTAGCTCTCATTCCTCCTTTGCAGGATTCATCCTGTCTTTATATATAAGCTTTTTCTCAGCTGCTGCCATCAGGCATATGAATTTTGCTGTTATGCAAGAACTGCTGCTTCTCCTCAGCTCAAGTGCCACAGCAGCAGCAGGCTGCCCTTGTCAAAGGGTCCCCATATCCCAAGGGTTCTGCAGAGACCCACCTCCCTTTTGGTCCCAGCAGCCTGCAGGCGGGCTGCTCTTAGGGAACCTGACCTCATTCTGAGGTCAGCACTGAGGGAAAAGGAGCAGAAATGATAAGGAGAAAGAAGAAATACTGGGTGCACAGGGAAACTGATGAGGCAGGAGATGGTAGGGTGTGGGGGGAGCTCTGGGTAAAAATGGGAGAATAAATTACCGAGAATTTTAGTCCATGTTCAGAATTACCACAGGAGTTCAGTGCCATCCCACCTGGCAAAGCTCACCTCGTACTCTTGGAGCTCGTCTTCCTCCACCTCATAGGACACAGTTTGGATGCGGATGTCACTCTCTACCAGGCAGGACCCTTGCGCCTCGTGCCTTTCAGGAGCTTCGGATGGAGCCTCTTTGCTTTCTGTAAAAGTGGTTTCACAGCTTTCTGTTTTGCTGTCCTTGGCCTTGAGAGTGGTCTCATCCTTCACAAGGATGAAACTGGGGCCGTACAAGGCTTCAACAGCCAGCTGCAGGGAACTGGCATCCAGCAGCTGGTGAGTCCTGGCACTGCCAGCGTTTTGGAAGATGTAGGAATACAGTTTCCCTTGGCAGTGATGACTGGAGTAGTCCTGGCTGTGATGCTGGTGGTAAGAATAGCTGCTGCGAAGGTGTCCGTTGGCCTTGGCCAAGAGCGGGTTTTGCAGCTCACGCACACTCTCCATGCTGTTGGTGGTAGGGGGAAGAGATCCTGCAGGAGCAGAGGTGGTAGAAGGGAAGAGGCTGTTATTACAGCAAGGCAAGGGAGCAGAAAAGTCTCTCACCCATGCAGGGCCGATGTCGAGATGAGGCTAGTGGGAACAGAAAATATTGGCAATAATGGAGAAAACAAGAGTCCTCCCCACCTCTGCACAGCTTGAATGCTATCTCAGCAAACAGAGCATCTCTTCGTCTCTCCCCTGCTGGTAGTAAGATAAGGATGCAGCCCTGCAACAAGATGATCTGATTCAGGCTGGATTAAGATGAGGATTTGGTGTATCTATAATGCATCTTGGGTTGGCCACGTGCAGCCTGACAGGAAAGGACCTACTGCATCTTTTCTGCTGGTTCATAATGTGTGCTGCCTAACAGACAGCACAGAAGTAGTTAAGAGACTGACAGTCACTCAAGGGGCCTCCCTGACTTCCCAAAGCAGAGGGTTGCACAGTGAATTACAGCCCTCTGGAGATTACACATACACCTAACTGACTTGCAGATAGATGGGAGGTTCTCTAGGGCTCCTCCAAGGTTGAGCTGCAGCTGGGGCAAGAGCAGTGAGCCACCAAGGGAAGGCAGGGGGCTGCTGTGAGGACATGGAGGTGGTGTTTAGGCTTGGGTGGGAGTGTTGGATGCTCAGCCAGCCATGAGGAGGAACGAAGAGATGCGAGATTAAAGGGGAGATCCCAGGGGGCTTGGTCCACTTTGAAATGATGACATTCTAAGTAAATGATCCATCACATCAAAGCAGCTCCACCCTTGGGTACCGCAGTAGCGGTACAGCCTTGGCTCTGGGCCACCACCTTCAGAAAATTCTGAGTCCAAACAGGATCCTCAGCTACAAATGTCAACATGGGTTTATTCCTTGGGGAAATTCACCTCCCTCTCCCTTCCTCCATTTCAGAGTGTCAAAACCTTGTGCTGCCTTTTTTTTTTTTACCCATGAAAATTTCTGAGATTAAATATTTCCACCCCTTTTCTTCAGAGGAGCATTTGCTATTTTGGCTTCCCAACCCACCTTGGCACAAAGAAAACGTGCAGTGAAATATCAGTGTTCCCCAGGAGAGAGAAACAATTACTTTGTGCTCTTCAGTACCCGAGCCCTGCATTTTATGGTCTCTCTCTAGCACTTTCCCGGCTCCTAGACCATGCCACCTTATTGCCTTGCAACCCCAAATGTTCCTGTCCTTCTTAGAGATCTCAGTCACTGAGCCCTCTGCAGGATGCTGTGTAGCAGAGGCACACTTCCTCCTGCTATAGGATTCCCCAAGGTGCAATAGGCTTTCTGATAGACAGCACATCACCTTGGCTTTAAATCTGTCCTCAAGGAGGAAATAAAAGTAAAGAAGTTGGAGTTGAAGATCCCAGAGAGTGAAAAGCTCAAGTGGTCCCTTGGCCAAACTCTGCCATGCCATGCAGGTTTGGGGGCCATACATGGTTTTAAATGGACCTGTCCACGGGCTTTGTTCTGGCAGTGGTCATCACATTTTAGAAAGCTGTAATGGAAAATGGAACTGTTCTGCTAAAACTGTGTGTTTTGGTGAATGCCCTCCACTTCTCCCTCCCCAAAACCATCCTCTGCCTTCTGCAGTCTCCCACCTTACTAATAAAGCCTGTAATGGCTTGTGCAGCAGATGGCTGTTAAGTATTTTGAAAATATTTGAGAGATGCATATTTGTATCAAAGGTGGTTTTATTTCTACGCAGACTCAGAGAAGCTCAAAGCTTCATCCCCGTTTTCAGGCAAGGAAACCACAATCCTCTTCTTTGCCTACCTTAACATGCAAATTAGGTTTCTAATAAAATATCTTTCTTTTGAATTAAACAGTAAGAAGAGATCAATCACTGAGTGTTGTTTGAGAGCAGCAGCCCAAGCAGAAGAAGCCCAGCACTAGTAAGAGAAAGTTGACAGTTTTTGTACAGCATCCATGCCTCATCTCAAGAAATGCTTCTGACAGCAGGCTAGGGTAGGGAGGAATGGGATCTTGCTGCGAGCTGCTGAAGGGAGCTGGCTCCAAATGTGCCGAGAAACACCAGCATATGGACTGCAGGCAGGCTGCTGGCCACCGGGCAGTGGGTGCTGCCTGTGTGGAAGTTGCTGCGCTTCTTGTTTTGGGTCTTCTGCAGCAGGTTAGAGAAAGGGGAGAGCTGTGTGGGAAAGCCACACATTCACAGCAGCTAGTGCTGGGAAACAGCGCGTGGGGGAGAAAGAAGGGAAAGGAGCTGGGAGGAATTGGAAACCGAAAAGGCAGCTTGGGAGGTGCCAGAGAACCAGTGGAGGATGGGTGCACCCATGCAGCTGGACTGCTGCTGGACATGTACTCAGTTGACTTTGAGCTGGGAGATGGCTCACTGACCTGGGCTGTGGGGAAGAGGTAGGGAGGGTTTGCAGGTAGTGAACAACACAGGGTGAACATTCCTTAGAAGAGCAATAGTGTGGGTAGGAAAAGAAACCACGGGAAAATACTGCTGAAGCATGGGGAAGTTTCTGTGAATGTGGGCTGGGCAGGGCTGAAGGCTTTGTCCCAGGGGAGGAGGGAGAGCCCAAACCTCTTTGATTCCTCAAACTGCCCTTTGAGGGGTGTCCTTAGAGCAGGGCCAGGATCTCAGAGCTGCTGCACAAAGCATGGACGGGGCAGGGCTACAGCTAAAGGGATTTAGTCCATGCTAGTCTTGTACCCTCTGGGATTCTAAAAGATTTACCTGTATTAAACTCTCTTTTCCTTGCTGCCTTCCACTCTTGGGAGCTGGGGCCGATGCTCTCCCTCGGAGCAGGATAGGGCAATAACAGAACTGCAAAGACGAGGGGAAAATACAGAAGATCTCACCGTGCTTCTGATAAATAGGCAAAAGGACCACTAAGTGCACTCTGGTGCCCAGACCTGGCATTTGTCAGCAGTGGAGAGGGGACACGGAGGGCCAGCATCACAAATGCCTATAGCAGTGTGCTGTAGTGTGTCCCTGCTGGAAAGCAGCCAGGCTGAAACCTTCTTCTCCAATAGCTGATGTGAAGAGTCCCAGTGTCAGAGGGATTAGAGTTCCATCCCACTCCTTAGTCACCAAGATTAGCACATTGCATAGAGACCGTGCACCAAATGATCTGGATTCGCAGGTATAGACTAGGGCCATCAGACCCCTAGAGATAACATTAGAGAGGGAGTGGCAGAGAGGGCAAGGACCAGCCCTGCATGCACACACACAGGGAATGAAAGAGCTACACCAGCCCTGCAGTTGTCCCCAAACCCCTTTTGGGTTATTTGGATCCTACAGTGAATTTAGCTGCACAGGGAATTAATAAAGTAAGCCTAGTAATAAAGTAAGCCTGGTAATAAAGACAGCTTGTTAATAACCGAGCTTGGGGAAAGGAAAGGAATGAAGTCAGCAGATGAAAGCAAGGAAGCCATAAAAGACAAAATTGGCAAAGAGTGGCCATTCTCTGACCTCATTATCAGCAACCCTGGATAGCGTGCATATCCATCAGCCACATGGGGCTTGTCTGGGCAGGACTGGCAGCAGGTAATGGTGGTGAGATGCTGCTAAGTGCACAGGGAGGGTGCACACATACAAGCATACATGCACAACGGGAGCCCAGGGGAGGGCACACCTGGGAAGAGGTAGACTTCAGTGCCCTTGTCAAACCAAACCATTGCTGCAGCTCTACTGATGACTGACAGCTGCGGGCTCCCTACTGAATTGCCTCCCCCTCTGCATGGCTGCTCCTGTAACCAGCTGGCTGGGCAGGGACCTCCATGCTCCCCAGCCCGGTTGCAGTGGTCCCCAGCAGAGTGAGAAATGCACAGCTGTGTTGTGTACTCAGCTTCTCAAGGCGAGTACTGGGTAAAAGGAGCCAAAATAAGGCATGAAAATAAAGAGGTAGCAAATATAGCTTTATGTTTCACAGATCTCACCTCCACACCACATCCCCTGAGGCAGTTCTTAGAGGGACCCTTGGCACAGATGCCAGCTATGATAAACCCGTTAATGATGAATTAAGTACTGTTCCAGGAATCAATCATCATTTAATTGCCCTGTCAGGCAAACACTCTGCCTTGCTTCCTGGGCTCATTAGCAGGTTGTGGCTGAGATGCATGTCCCCAGACTCCTGAGTGAGGTTAGCCCACCCCGACCAATGGCTTTCCCCTTCAGGATAGCACCTGGGGAAGTTGGTGCCCTCGGGGAGTGGTGCCCTCCTGCACTGCCATGCCCTGGCTGATCTGAGGGCAGGGGACAGTGTGAATGCCTGTTCCTGATACAGTTGATGTGACACAGCATCATAGCCAGGTACAGCTGCCATATCCCTGGGACAGAGGTGGGCTTGCACCTGATGGAGCAGGAAAGCATATGAGATATGTCAAGCACCCTTCCCAGAGTCCAGGCCTTCCTAGAAGCTCTCAGGAGGTGCTTTTAGGGCTTCTAACCAGAGGCCCAAGTCCTGCCAGGAGACAGTACCTCTGCCTCTGGACATCCAAGCTTGCGATTCTGCTCAAGAGAAAACCAGCTTGCAAAGGCTGCTGAGAAGCAAAGGCAGAGCATTGCAAGGAGGGAAGTTGTCATTTTGGAAAGGTAATGGATGAAGGAGGATGAAGGAAAGGCATTGAAGGCTCATGGACATTGTGTCTGGCAGGGGCAGACCAAGTCCTCTCTCAGTCCCAGGAGCCCACACAGAAGCATGGATACCTGACATGTCCCAGCCCTGAGCCCCACAGGGTGAAACACAGCTCAACAGGAGAAGGAATTGCTTTCATCAGCCCTGCAGACATGATTGCAGAAAGCAGTTTTGTTCTGGCAACACTCAAGCCCGTCTCTACATCGCTGCTCCTGCCTTGGGTACAGCACTGGCATGCAGTGAGGGACTGTTCATCTCTGGGGTATAACAAAGCCTTCACCAGTCCTGGGACAGGTTGCTGTGCCAGGAGCATCAGATGAGGTGGCTGGGGGGTTGCAAAGGGCAGAGGGGTTGTGTGGATGAGGCAGCTCTCAGTGTGGGACAGGAGAG